GTTTTTAAGAAGAGGATGGAACGAGAATGAGTAAATCCTCAAGTCCTTCTGCTGAGGAGAACAGTTTCTGAACACTTTCATATGTATTTTTTGGCAATCAGTTACTTCTCTAAGTGTTTTGTCCTAAATATTCCAATATCTAAATAAAAACTAAAGATAATATTTAGAAGTCGAGATGATTTCAACAGAACTTAATTTCCAGAAAGAGTGTTTGATTAGGGCTCTCATATAAACCCTCATCTGGATAGATCAGGCCTGCACAACATGCAGCCCCTGGGCCATATGCAGCTTCCACAAATCACTGGTTTGGCCCACTGAGTACCACTGCTGCCACTTGGACCCCCCCTCTTGCGCCCACTGCCACAACTTGCACCCCCCCCCCCCTGTTGAGTCAGGGATGAAGGGAGAAAAGGAAAGGGAGAAAAAAAATATGAAAAAGAGGGGGAGGGAAGGGAAGGGAGGAAGGCAGGCAGACAGAAAAGAGAGAAGAGGAAGGGAGGGAGAAAAGGAAAAAAGAAAGATGGATAGATAGGAAACAGAGAGGGAAGAAATTCAGATTTCAGAAAGTGTGGCAAAGAGGTTTGAACCTTGGACTATGTCTCTGAACCCACTGGGTGACTTTAGGCAAGTCAGACTTGCTCAGCCTCAGAGGAAGACAACAGCAAATCTCTTTTGAATACATCTTGACAAGAAAACTCTATCATAGGGTCACCTTAGGGTCACCATAAGTCTGAAACGACTTGAAGGCACGCAACAACAATCCTAATTAATCATTAATTATACCTTACTTGGAAGGTGAGGTACTAAAAACCTACTTGCGGCCTCAAAAGGTTTAGTGTATCTAATTTTTGGCCTCTTACTATTGACAAGTTGTGCTGACATGGGATAGATTAATAAACTTGCACTGAATTACTTTATTTTTTGACCCCATAGAACAGGAGTGTAAAAACCATATGGCCCACAGGTGCCATAGAATTTGCATGTATTTAAGGAAATAAATGTCCCATGTCCACACAGGTTTCTATGAATGTGGAATCAAGAATATTCCACAACATCCAAATTATAAAACACTGTTCATATGAGAAGAATGTTTGTTTTGAGATGCTGGTAGACCTCCTTCTCTGTTAAAAATTTAACCAAAATAATGTCTGTGTCCTTAAAATACTCCTACTATAATTTCCAACATAAAATTAGAAGGATTTTGTTTATTTTACTTTATTTTATACAAAACATAGAAGTAATATCTTTGTGGAGTAATCTTCTATCTCATATCGGTCAATTAATGGCTGTCATTCTTTAGATAAAACATATGGCTTCAGTGTTGCAGTCACACCAGAAGCGACTTGCAGTTTCTCAAGTAGCTCCTGACACGACAAAAAAAGTGTTGCAGTGGTCCTTGCAAACATACTTTCCATACATGATGTACTGCCTGCCAGCTTTCTTATCCACTGACCTACTGGAGAAAGACTAGTGCAAAGGATTATGAAATGGTGCTGACATGCATATGTCTCGGTTATTTCTGCTAGTTCTAAAAATGGCTTCTCACCACATTTTATGCTGTGTTGAAATATGGTTCCACAACAACATTGTAACCACTATAACAGTGGTGTACCAGGCAATTTGCCCAGGTACAGATATCCCTTCAGAGGATATGGTTTCTTAGTACTGAAGCAGTACCATTTTCTTATGCCATCTTTTCTTGGTTTATTTGGCAGCAGAATTTACCTTTGAACTCAACCAGCTATTCATCAATAATTAAATCAGTCCCTAGTGCGTATCATGTTTGACGCAGCTGAAAGAACACAGTCCGCATATCCATTACCTTGGGAGTTTATGAAGTCTCTTTGGGCTCATTGTTGCTTGGTGGAGGAGCATCCTCGAGACTGCACACTACAAACGAGCATGTTATCCTTGCTACATGACAGTGCCCCCACCCACCAAGCAGGAGGTCAATGATGTCAAGGGACTGCCACACCTCAACCCGGGTAAGATTCTTCTTGTGTCATACCCATTCTTCCATGAATGGAGTAGTAAAGAATTCATTCTGTTAGGTACAGTTCAAAGATATTTCTTTTTATGCCTCCTTCTCTGGTCGATGGATGCTCCCAAAATATGTCTCTGCATGTTTTGCAGTGATTTTTTTTATTAACATTAGCAACAGGTCCTTCTGCTACAGTGTCTCATGACTTCAATTTGATTTTGTCTAGAAAGAGCAAAAAACCACACTGAAATCATGAGACACTGTTGTGGAAGGAGCTGTTGCCAACATTTATAAACAATTCACTGCATAACATCCAGCAACATATTTTAGGAGGATCCATGGACTAAAGAAGGAGGAAAACAGACAAATATATTTGAACTGTGCCTAACAGAAACTTGCACTTGCTGCTTTCCCATTCCTGAGCATGGGGAGGCAATTTTTCTCATCCAAACAGCCATCAGTTTACCTAGTCCTTCAAGCACAAAATGACACAGCTATCAAGGAACATGAAAGGCACTGCAGACTAATTAAACCAGAGAAGCCAGCCATAGCAAAGCATTTGATGAACCAACCTGGACACAGCATATTATTTGAAAATGCAGAAATGCTGGACCACTCTCACAACCACCATGTCAGACTACACAGAGAAGCCACTGAAATCCATAAGCATGTGGACAATTTTGACAGAAAGGAGGAAACCATGAAAATGAACACAATCTGGCTACCAATATTAAAAAACTCTAAAATCAGGATAGTAATAGGGGAATGACAGGCATGAAACAATCAGGGCCAGCTAACACCTCCCCACAAAGGATTCCCCCAGGCAGCAACCGGCCAGGCTTTGAGGTGGCTAATTGCAACATTCACAGTTGCCTCAAACACAGAAGAATTCTTTCCCACACTCTGGACATTCCAGAGATATGTAAGCCCCACTTGCCTAGCTTCCAACAGACCTCACAATCTCTGGAGATGCCTGCCATAGATGTGGGCAAAATGTCAGGAGAGACTGCTTCTGAAACATGGCCAACCAGCCCAGAAATCTCACAGCAACCCAGACACAGATATCATTTTTGTCCCAATATGACACTCCAAGTAGAACAAGATGGCAGAATGGAATTTATTTGTTGGGATAACATTTATTCTAGCTGTGGTAGGGGGTCATATTTTTTTTTAAAAAAAACTGAATACAGAAGAACTTGAAACTTGAGGATATTAGAAAATGTCAAAATGAGATCATAAAATGCCTATGTTTTGATCTAATTCCATGGGAATCGTGCCACAAACATGGTTCTGGACCAATAACTTGTCCCAACTGGTAGGAAGATGGTTGGAAGAAAATACTTTTGTAACACATTCTTACACAGTTTCTTCTGCTCAACACAATGGCCTTTGAAAAACGAAGGCTGGGCACAGGTTTTCTACTAGTAAGTGTGTGATTAATACAGATAATTACAGAAAAAATTGAATAGTCCACATCACTTGCTGTAAACTTTTGTTTTACCAAAATATTAAATTTTCAGAAGTTCTACCACTAACATTTCAGCATTGCACATACATTTATTAATGTCAAAAATGTGGCAACTAGTGTTTTGTTGAGATTGTTTTGACTGCATTTGCCTAGAAAAGACATAAATTACCAAATTCATACTGCTTTCTTGCCAGGCCCTGGTTGATCCTTCTAACTCACATGCTGTACACAAACTGAATCCCCTGTCCCCTTCTTGTTTGGATATGAATGCCAGAAGGAGAACTTCAGGTTATCACTTGCCTATCAGGCGTCAAGCAAAACTTTTGATTTCTTTTAGCTAAACAGCTGCCAATCTTTTAATGAAGAAAACCTGCAGGACTGTTTGATGCAAAGACAACCAGTTTTACATTCAAAATTGGGTACTACCATGCCAGATAGTGCACACCTTCCCAACTTCCTTCCTGATCTCCATGAACAGTGGCAAACCACAAGCTTGAATCAATGCTACTCCTGAAAAAACAAGATGTTCACATACCACTCATTTTATCATCCAGTGTTATTCTTTAATTACATAGTACTTCTACAGTTATTCATATATAAAGGCTGCATTCAACAAGACAGCAATTGCACATAATCCTTCAGAAGAAAATTTTATGTTCCACAAAGCACGAGAAGTACAATTTCATTCTGCCACATCAGCAACACCAAGACCAAAAAATATACTAGGCCTGCAATAATGTGCCCAAAGCCTCTGAAAAATAAAAAGAAATGTGTGCACTATCAACGGGAAACCATAAAACACATCACAACAGAAGTGGCAGCATTTAAGAAACCATGCAGACAGAACAAGATAGAAAAATCTAACTTGGTTCCTTTTAACCTTATTACTGTGATACTTCCTGGAAACTTGTTTTCCCTTTATGACAAACACATCTATAAGCAGCTCAGTTTATTACAAAATCATTAAATTTTACACACATGCTGCAAATATTCAAATTGTACTTTATCTATGTATTCCAATTAAAACTGCAAGTGATATCCAGTAACTAACCTTCAAAATGAAAAAGGAACTGGGCTAAGAGGATCAGTGATACCATAAAGCAGTCAATGTCACTGCATCAAATTCCATCATCTTCCTCGCTTGGTTTCAACACTGTATTCCAACCACTCATCTATCTCTTCATAACTTTCCAACAGAAACATCTTTTCTCCTAGCTTGTCCTTACCATTTGTTATTTATTACGTCACTTGTGATAAACACATCAGACTCCATTCTATATATCTATTTGTTTTGTATAATCATCTCAACAAGTAATCATGTTCCTACCAATACTGCTGGCATCATGAATAAAACATAAAATAATACAAAATACCCAAACTCATTTATCACCAAAACCCTTGAAATTCAGAGATATCAAAAGAGGCGTGACTGTGTATGGTTGCAATCAAATAACAAGCATTCCATAGTTATTATGAAAGCAGGATAATATTGAAAATATCAGTTGGTTGCCCCAGTATACAAACAAGACAGAGATAAGAATCTTTATTTACCTCTTCTAGAAGTGTGACTGTATTCCTGCAGTTCTGTAGCCGGGTGGTAAAACTGGAAGTAGTGGGGGAGTTGTAATCCTCTGTGGTCTCAGAAATAAACTCCGACACAGTGATCTGGTCCGGCATGATCCTGCCCAACAGAGACGGATGATGATAGCAAAGGGAAAAAAGACAAGGAGAGAAGGAGTATTAAGCGTAAGGAAGAGCATCTAAAAGCTTAAGCTGAAGAAGGAGTGGCAGTACGATTTTTCTTTCCAGCATGCCCTGGTATCCAGTTAGAAAAATGGAGATGCCCTTCAGAATACAGTCTGTTTCATCAGAGGGGAGATGTCATCCCTGCAGGGCTGTCGCTGAACCCACCAACACTGAATCCTCCACGCTTTTTTCACAGGAAGAAATATACCAGGACTGGGTGTTGCTCCACTTCAGTGCTTCACTGAACAAGATTATCGAGACTCCTCTCTCCTAAACCTTGTCCCTCCAGGATGTGCTTCCTAAATTAAGGCAGACATCCTCTTCCTCTCTGCCTTCCCATTCTAGACTCAATTCCATATTCATAGTCACCATTTAATAAAACAGGTTATCTAAACTGACTCATTCTTGGATCATTATTTCCTTATGGGATGTAATCAGAAGCCTTAATTCCTCCCAGCAACACGAATTCTCTAAAAAAAAGGGGGGGGGGCTTTCAAACTAGCTGCCTCCCCTACTATACCTTGTGACTGCTTCAACAGTCCCTCGAAATGCCCTCTCTTTAAAAATAAGAGGGCGTGCCTTCCAGTCCTTCAGATCCTTCCCTATTTCAGCTGCAGAATCCCTGCCCACTCTTCCCCCTCCCCACCCCCTCTTTCCTTTTTTCTTTTAGAGAGCAAAATCTCTGACTAGATCTTTCTTGATCTCCTTAGCAGAAAAGAGGGAAGGGTATAAAGAACTCGGTCCCTTCTACGCACCATATACACACACCCACACACACACACAATTTGAATCTCTAGCTGGACTTCCAGCCCCATTTCTATGGGGAAATGGGGATTTGTGCTCAGATAGATAGATAACATACACATGCATATACTCTATCTCTCTTTGAACCACTGAATGGACTTCTGGGCTCTTTTTATGGGGTTTGAACCCATATACATATTATGCACACAAATACATACTCGCTCTCTCTTTTAACCTCTGGCTGGACTTCTAGACTCCTTTCTATAGGGAAAGGGGGATTCACACTCAAGATATATCTATAAATATTACATGCATATGCTCTATCTCTCTCTTTGAACCTCTGGCTGGACATCTAGGCACCTTTCTATGAGGAAAGGAGACTACTTTCAATCATATCTATCTATCAATCTATTAAATGCACACACATGCTATCTCTCTCGTTGAACCTTTGGCTAGACTTCTAGGCTCCTTTCTATAAGGAAACAGGGTTTGCACTCATACATGCTATCTCTCTTTCTCTTTGAACCTCTGGCTGGTCTTCGAGGCTCCTTTCTAAGGGGAAAAGGGAGGTTCACACTCAGATACACACGCACACACATATTACACACACATACATATGTCCTATCTCTTATCTCTCTTTGAACCTCTGGGTGAAATTCCAGGTTACATTCTAGGTGGTAAACGGAAGTTCACATTCAGATACACACACGCAACATACAATTACACATGTTCTATCTCTTTCTCTTTGAACCTCTGGCTGGACTTCTAGGCTCTTTTCTGTGAAGAAAAGGGAGATTTGTTCATATATACACACAGACACAATCATGGACTTGGACTTGCTCTCTCTCTCTTTCTCTTTGAACCTATGGGGAAAAGGGAGGCTCATTCATACATACACACACACACACACATTACATACACATGCACATGCTCTATCTCTTTGACTCTCTGGCTGGACTTCCAGGCTCCTTTCTATGGGGAAAAGGGAGGTTTACACTCTATCTATCTATATACACACACACACACACACACATAACATGCACCTGCACATGATCTGTCTCTTTGAACCTATGGGGAAAAGGGAGAGTCATATATATAATTCAGACACACACACACACACACACTACATACATATGCTCTATCCCTCTCTTTGACTCTCTGGCTGGACTTCCAGGCTCCTTTCCATGGGGAAAAGAGGGGTTCACACTCAGACTATATATACACACACACACATATAACATGCACCTGCACATGATCTGTCTCTTTGAACCTATATATATATATATATATACACACACACACACACACATACACACACACACATATATAATTCATACACACACACTACATACACATGCTCTATCCCTCTCTTTGACTCTCTGGCTGGACTTCCAGGCTCCTTTCTATGTTCACATTGAGATATATACACATACACACACACACTCACATATACATAACATGCACGTGCTCTATCCCTCTCTTTGACTCTCTGGCTGGACTTCCAGGCTCCTTTCTACGGGGAAAAGAGATGTTCACACTGAGATATACACAAATACACACACTCACATATATATAACATGCACATGCTCTATCTCTTTCTCTTTGAACCTTTGGCTGGACTTCCAGGCTCCTCTCAACAGTGAAAGGGAGGTTTGCTTTCATTCATATATACATCTATATATCTATATATCACACACACACACTCACATATACATAACATGCACATGCTCTATCCCTCTCTTTGACTCTCTGGCTGGACTTCCAGGCTCCTTTCTAAGGGGGAAAGAGATATTCACACTGAGATATATACATACAAATACACACACACACACACACATATATATAACACATGCTCTATCTCTTTCTCTTTGAACCTTTGGCTGGACTTCCAGGCTCCTCTCAACAGTGAAAGAAAGGTTTGCTTTCATTCATATATACATCTATATATCTATTACACACACATTGAACCTCTGGCTGGACTTTCAGGCTCCTTTCCATGGGGAAAAGAGGAAGCTGTATATATGTATATACACACATACACTTTGGACACACACACACACTCACTCATACCTACACATCTTTCTGACATTTTCCTATAACTGTCTATCAAGCAGGGGCCAACTTTGGCCTTCCAGGTGTTTTGGACTTCAACTCCCACAATGCCTAACAGCCTCAGGTCCTTACTTTTTCCCCTTCAGCCGCTTAAGCGGCTGAAGGGGAAAAAGTAAGGACCTGAGGCTGTTAGGCATTGTGGGAGTTGAAGTCCAAAACACCTGGAAGGCCAAAGTTGGCCCCTGCCTGGTATAGACACAAATATATACACAAATACTCTCTCACACCTTTCCCACCAACCTCTCCCATCAGCACAGACCCCACCAAGGCCCCTTCCCCTCACAGGCTTCCCCCAATTTCCCTCCAAACACAAAAACTCCCCGCCAAAAAGACCCTCACTCCCCCCCCCCTTTCCCCCTTTCTCCTCTGCCAAGTACTAACTTGCAAAGCGGCCCCCCTCCCTCCCAAAGGACCCCCCCAAAAGCCTGGGTTTGGGGGGGAGTGGAGGGAGAGGAAAAAAAGGCTCGAAAAAGTAGAGAAAATTCGACGGGAATTCCTTCCAGTTCCGAAGCAGCCAAGATTATTCCTTCTCTCCTTCTCTGTGTCTCTCTGACTGACTGAAGCTGGCTCTCCAGTCAGTCAGGCAGGCTCGCTCCTGCGCATGCGCCCTGCCGCTGGGGGAAGGCGCTCCAACTTGAGAGGACGCGCATGCGCATTCTTTATCTTCCCCCTCTCCCGCTTTACATAAGGAAACGCGAATTCTCTCCTCCATTCTCTCGCCCCGCCTCCTCTCTGACCAAAGCTCCGCCCACTTTCTTGCCTCTTCTCCGCCCTGTCACGTGACGCCAAGCGGGGAAAGACGCAGTGCGCATGCGCCTCTCTGATCCAACTTCCCTGCTTACATAGAATCATAGAATCAAAGAGTTGGAAGAGACCTCATGGGCCATCCAGTCCAACCCCATTCTGCCAAGAAGCAGGAATATTGCATTCAAATCACCCCTGACAGATGGCCATCCAGCCTCTGTTTAAAAGCTTCCAAAGAAGGAGCCTCCACCACACTCTGGGGCAGAGAGTTCCACTGCTGAACGGCTCTCACAGTCATAGAATCATAAAATCAAAGAGTTGGAAGAGACTTCATGGGACATCCAGTCCAACCCCCTGGCAAGAAGCAGGAATATTGCATTCAAATCACCCCTGACAGATGGCCATCCAGCCTCTGTTTCAAAGCTTCCAAAGAAGGAGCCTCCACCACACTCCGGGGCAGAGAGTTCCACTGCTGAACGGCTCTCACAGTCAGGAAGTTCTTCCTCATGTTCAGATGGAATCTCCTCTCTTGTAGTTTGAAGCCATTGTTCCATTGCGTCCTAGTCTCCAGGGAAGCAGAAAACAAGCTTGCTCCCTCCTCCCTGTGGCTTCCTCTCACATTTATACATGGCTATCATATCTCCTCTCAGCCTTATCTTCTTCAGACTAAACATGCCCAGCTCCTCTAGCCGCTCCTCATAGGGCTTGTTCTCAAGACCTTTTATCATTTTAGTCGCTCTCCTCTGGACACATTCCAGCTTGTCAATATCTCCTTCACTTCATCCTCCCTTCTATTAATTATCTTTATTCATTTATTATCTTTATTTATTTATACCCTGCCTTTCTCCCTGTGGGGACTCAAGGCAGCTAACACTCCACACTAGGCAATTGTAAAAGGTACAATATAAAAGTTAAAAAGCAATTAATTAAATAGTAGAAGTGTGGTTAAAAACAAAAATTAAAATATATTGTTGTTTTGCTGTTGTAATTTTAGAGTGTTTTAATACATGTGGACAATTCAACAGAAAGGAGGAAACCATGGAAATGAACAAAACCTGGCTACCAGTATTATAAAAAAAACCCTCTAAAATTGCAACAGCAAAACAACAGAGGGGAAACAATCAAGGACATCTAATCACCTCTCAAAGAAAGATTCCCCCAGGCACTTCCAAGCCATTAGATGCTAATCAAGGTGCTCAGTTCATAGAATCATAGAATCAAAGAGTTGGAAGAGACCTGGGCCATCCAGTCCAACCCTTTGCCAAGAAGCAGGAAAATCGCATTCAAATCACCTCTGACAGATGGCCATCCAGCCTCTGTTTAAAAGCTTCCAAA